AAAAAAAAAAAAAAAAGAATGTGTATGTGCATGTGGTAGAGGTGTGGGTGTGTATCTATGTGGGGGATGTGTGTGTGTGGGTGTGTGTATGCAGGAGAGGTATGAGTATGGTTGCATGGGGGATGTGTGTGCAGGGATGTGTGCCTAAGGGGAATGTGGGTATGTGTACACCAACAAAGAGCCAGGAGGAGGTCTGTCTGCAATGACCCAGAGTTAACACAGTAGATTCAGTAGCATGATGGCCCTGCCGGGGAAAAGAGGTAGGGTAGAGATCAACTCAGTCTAGAAGAAGAAAAGAGGAACACAAGAAAAAGGAGGATGTGTTGAAATTCTCAAAGCAACATCGTAGAAACAAGTCCAGGTAAAGTAGGACTCTTTAGCTGACACAGGGCTGCAACAGGAGGTGGTCAACACAAGGGCCTGGGCCTGCTATACCGGTAAGCACGCACGTGGTGCATGTCCAGTCTTGTGAATTTTAGGGCAACATCAGGGAGTGGTCACTGTAGGGAGGTGGTCAGCTATGGAGGTTCTACTGTGCACCAATCACAATAAATAGGAATACATTAGCTATAGTGAGAGATTTAACCTGAGGAATTCAAAAATATAATTAATAGAATTTTAGACAAAGATTTGTGCACAAAGAAGTATATAGTGTACCTTAATGTTAGATTAAAGAAACTTTTCTTTTAAAAATGTGTGCCTAGCTGTTGGATTGAAGTGCCATTTCTGTGACTTGAAAAGCCTTCAGCCATACTCTAGGGACTGATTCTTTGTGAATTTGCAATATGTAGCCCCATCGGTTAGACTGAATTTTAAATGTTAGTATAGCCTGCATATTCCATTTTGAAGCCAAGAAAGTGTCTGTGTCTCTCTTGGCCTCCTGCTGCCTGGCCATTTTTGCTGTCTCTCCCTGCAGGATCGCTGTGTTCTCTGTGACTGTGCTACGTGATGACCGTGTTGTCCTGGTAGCCGAGCAGCGGCCTGATGCCTCTGAGGAGGACAGCTTCCAGTGGATGAGCCGCGTGCTACAGGTTGGCACAGTGTGGCCTGCGGTCCAGACGGGCCTCTGCCCCACTGTTTGGGCATATGTGGTACCCCTGTTCCACTGAGGGCAGAGTGCTACAGTTGCTCCACCCAGCCTCCCCGTCTCCAGCTTGTATTATTTTTCTTGCAGTTTTAAAAATTGTAAATTGACATATTATAGTGGTATATTTTTAGGGGATACAGAGTGACATTGTGATGTATCAACACATTGTGGAATAATGAAATGAAGCTAATGTATCTATCACCTCAAATGCTTATTTTTTGTGGCAACATTTGAAATTTATTCTCAGTAATTTAGTAATGTACAATACATTACTCTTTACTATATTAGTCTATGCAATACATCGCAAAGAAAAGTCCTTAGTCCTCCTGTCTAATTGAGGCTTTAGAGCTTTTACTGCCATCTTCCACTCGCCCCCCAGCCACTGGGAGCCCCTGTTCTGCTCCCTGGGCACAGGTTTACATACATGTGTGCATCTCCCCTTTCTGAGTTAAACAGTAGGAAGCAGCACATGGCCTTTCTCCTTCTCCTCACCTAACAGGATATCTTGAGGTCCTTCCACCTCGGGTCTCTGGGTGCCAGTGCTTCCCTGCAGTGCCAGGCCTCCTAGTGCCTCAGCTGCCCCAGGTGGCGGCAGATGCTCAGCAGGCCTTCCCCTTCCAGGCCGTCGACAGCATCCACCAGGTGGGCGTGTACTGTCTGGCCCTGGTTCCTGCCAACACCTTGCCCAAGGCTCCTCTCGGAGGGATTCACATTTCTGAAACCAAACAGCGCTTTTTGGAAGGGACGCTGCACCCATGTAATGTGCTGATGTGCCCACACACTTGTGTTACCAACCTTCCCAAACCTCGTCAGAAACAACCAGGTCAGTCTCTCCAGTCGTCAAACTAAGCGGGGTCAGGGTGCAGCCCTACAGGCACTACAGAAGTAACTGCCCATGTCTTCAGGGCTGGGTCTGGAGTGAGTGCACACACCAGTGTGGTAGCTGCCTCCTGAATTCTGGGGACAGAGCCATGAATGAGAGAACTTTACCATTTCACCTGTATGGTGGTTTCCACTGCTGATTAGGAACCAGTTTTAATAATAAATTCAGAGACATTCAGGGACAGCATCTTACCTTTGGCTTAAAGCAGACTTGGAGCTCTGGGACCTACAAAGCCTCTGTGGGCCACTCTGCCAGAGTGGCCATGCCTGTCCTCAGAAGCCAATGGCTCATTTAGGCCCTGGGAGCTGTCACAGACCTTGGAAGTCTCTTAACAAATGGTCAGTTTTCCTGTCCCTAACTTTACACATTTAAAGTTAATTTTAAAGACTGACCTAACTAATATACGCAGTTTTCATTCCTTTAGCTGTATAGATTTTTAGTGCTAATTTTCTTTTGCTAATTATTAAACACATAAAATATCACTGAATACATTTCCACCAGGAAGATTTAATTTCCTGATTTATACATAATGTATGGTAAAACAGTGACATATATTAAGCATTTGGCTATGACTGAAGCCAAATCATATCCCCCAAGATGTCTGTCACCTATTTAGTAGTTCATATTTAAGAGAGAAATTCTTTGTCATTTAATATAAACTGTGTAGCTCTTGTGTCTTAGTAGAAGAGTTAAATGCCTAATTCAAGTAGGTTTTCAAAATAAAAGGTGTGGTGAAAATGAGGTCACATGATGACTAAATGTTTGAAGTTATCAGCTTATTCAGAATTCTCCATCTCTAGAGGTGGGACCAGCCTCAATGATCGTTGGGAACCTGGTTGCTGGGAAGAGGATTGCACAGGCCTCAGGGAGGGAGCTTGCCCACCTGGAGGACAGCGAGCAGGCTCGGAAGGTAACAGCTGGTTCCTGGAGGGGGGTGGCAAGACTCCACATGGTGCTTCTAGTGACCACTGCCCTCCCACACAGTCCCTGTTCCTGGCTGACGTGCTACAGTGGCGGGCACACACCACTCCTGACCACCCACTGTTTCTGCTGCTCAATGCCAAGGTGAGAATATCCATCATTGTCCAGTGTGTAACTGCAGCATCCCAGTATGTTTGCTTCAGAGATAGCGTGTCTGCAGAATGTCTGGCAAGTTCTCTCTGCCTACCCTTTTCTTTGTAGAACCCTGGCTTTCTGTACAATTCATGCAGTAGTATTTCTTTTGATTTTGTATTTAGCAGGAAAATTCTCTTCGGCTCCATCTTTTCAAATTATGAGCTATACACATGTAAATACTTCTAAGTTTGTGAGCTAAAAATAAAATGTTTATTTTGTAAAAATTAGGCCTTTAGAATATCTGTATTTTATAGCTTTAAAATGATAAATACTACTTATTTTCTGAATCCTGCTGATGATTTAGAAATTCACTCACGTGTATTTTGAATACCTATTGATGTACATTATACTATATCAGGAGCATTTAGGACGTAAAGGAGAAGCTGTAATTCTCACATCCATGTTATGAGCAGGAATACAAAATATGAAAACAAAGAAGAATAAAAGTGTAGAAAGACTCCCTGTTGCACATATTGTACAGGATATAAGGACTCCTGCACTTTGGTACAGTAAAGCGTGACTCACCATGTGCTTAGAAATGTTAATCTGGCGGTGCCTATAGCTCAACCGGCTAAGGCGCCAGCCACGTACACCTAAGGTGGCGAGTTCGAATCCCCAGCCCGGACCCGCCAAACAACAATGACGGCTGCAACCAAAAAAT